CCAGCCTGCAGGTACAGCGTGCCGTTTGTGGTCCACATCTGCGGCGCTCCATTTCCGTTGTCGCTGCCGGCAGTGCCGAAGCATTCCCGCAGGTCTGCAATCACCTGTGACACTGCCGGGTCCGACTGGCAGTTGAGGGTGGCCGTGCAGGCGAGGTAGCTGGTGAGGCCTGCACACGTCGTCGGCACGGTGCATTGCTGTTGCAGCAGCATCGTGTCGCACGTGTCTGCTCCCTGTGCATTCACAACACCAAGAACATTGCTCCAGTACACCAGCACGAGTGCCAGCAGCACCGACACGCGCGCAGTCACGCCACACATTGTGTATGTGTCTGTGTGTGTATGTCTGTGTCTGTCTGTGTCTGTGTCTGTGTGTCTGTGTGAGCAGCTGGTTGCGGTGTGGAGGGGGCAACAACAAAACAACAGCTTGCTTCTTTCTTGCTTCTTGTGATTTGAAAACAAAACTGAAATCAGTTCAAATCGGGAGCTTTTGTCAGAATTGCATTTCCTGATCAGAGCAACAAACAAGCAAGGACGATGCGACTGCTCGGGATTGACACGGCGTCCTGGTACATGGTCAGTGTGTGTGTGTGTGTGTGTGTGTGTGTGTGTGTGTGTGTGTGTGTGTGTGTGTGTGTGTGTGTGTGTGTGTGTGTACACAACAAACATAGTGTCGAAGACGCGCTTTCTATCCCTCCCCTTACTCCGCACAGACACGATCACTCACTTTCATTGCACACACACACACACATATCAGGACTATGAGGGCCAGAAGTTGATGGAGGGCTTGTTCCAGTACATTATTCTTGGGTTCATGACACTTGGGTTTGGTTGGGGATACTACTGCCAGCGATTTGAACAAACCATCTACGTCACCCTCGGCGGCGTGGCCCTCGCGTTTCTCGTGAGTCCGCTGTGTGTGTCTGTCTGTCTCTCTCTGTCTCTCTCTGTCTCTGTCTCTGTCTCTGTCTCTGTCTCTCTCTGTCTCTGTCTCTGTCTCTGTCTCTCTCTGACACACACTCTCTGTCTCTCTGTTTCCTTCTGTATGTGTCTGTGTGTGTGTGTCTAAGTTTCCTTATCTTCCCACCATTGCCGTGTCTCCCCGCCTTCTTCCCCCTCCCACCTTTACCCTGTCTCTCCCCCCGTACCCCTGTGGCTCGTGTCGACCTGTAGCAGCCATGTCGTGCTGTTGCGGCTGCGAATGGTTTCTGTTCATCTGCTTCTCACGAGCACCTGGCCCCTTCTCACGTCCACAACCCCCTTCCCATGATTCTCTCGCTTTATCATTTCTACAGATCTGCCTGCCACCCTGGCCCATGTATCGACGACACCCAATCAAGTGGTTGAAGCGACACCCAAAGCAGAAATCAGCACCAGAGACTAGTTGAAATCGCTCGCGTATGTGCGTACCTGTGTGCGCATGTATGCATGATTTGATGTGCTCGTTGTAGATTGACCAACCTCGTATCTTCCTCGCCTGATCCTTTTGCGGTACTTTCCTTGCGCCCCTGGCGACAAAGCCATGTTATAACAATTTTTCTCTGCCAACAAAAGCTGCAAGTACGCATCTGTCCGCCCGTCTGTCTGTCTGTGTGAACGAATGACTGTTGCCCAGTACCCTGCCGGGTTGCTTGTTCCTTTTGCGTCGTCGTCGTCGTCGTCGTCGTCGTCGTTGTTGTTGTTGTTGTTGCTGTCGTCGTCGTCGTCGTCGTCGTCGTTGTTGTTGTTGTTGTTGTTGTTGTTGTTGTTGTTGTTGTTGTTGTTGTTGCTGTTCTGTTCATTGTTTGTTTTGAATACAGTAGCGGCATAACAAACCCAGTCCACACTGTGTCCCACGACCAGGCATCACATCACATACACTATGTACACGAGCGTGACAGACACAAGGACCAGAGGGAAAACGCGACAGATCAAGCGCAGTGGCGGGCGGTCAACGCCCCAACTTCATTCAGCAGCGCCAAGATACACAGGCACAGCAGTTGGTAGCGAGCAAGAGAGTAACATGTACTCCACATGAACCATCATAATTCAACCTCACACACACGCATGCACACTGTAGCTTAGCTATGACACGGGCGGGTTGGCGATGCGCACAGACTTCTTCTTGCCCTTACCGCCCCATCCAAACCGGTTCCGCTTCAGGTTCCCCTTCAACTTGGCGCCCTCGCCTCCTTTCTGATTCTTCCCGGCCTTTGTGCCTTTCACCGCCGGCATTTCCTCTTCCTCCCCTTCTTCCTCTGCTGCCGCTTCACCATCACTATCGCCACCATCACGACCGCCATCGTCATCATCACCGTCGTCATCAGCAGCCTTGGTACTTTTCTTCTTGTTCTTCTGTTGTTGTTGTTGTTGTTGTTGTTGCTGCTGCTGCTGCTGCTGCTGCTCCTCCACCTGCTTCTGCGCGGCCTTGACAGCCTTGAGTTGCTTCTTCAGCCGTGCCACCTCCTCCTTCTGCGCCTCGTCCATGTCGTCGTCATCATCGTCGCCGCCACCAGCGCCAA